TAAGTACAAATAATGTAAAATGATTAAACATTATTTCTCATATAAAAAGAAAGCATAAATTGCTGTTTGAACAATAATTAATAATAGATTTATAAATCTAAAATTATAGTTATCAGAAAATTATATGTTGCCAGACGTAACATGTAARCTTCTCGGAAACCACTAACGTGTATAATATCTTGAAATATTTGAAGACCATCAACTGCTGAATTTGTTTTCTAGCTAGTCATTCTCTGTAAGTAGCAAAAAGCATTTTTTACTTTCAAGTAAGCCATTTTATATTCTAATTAAAATATTGTAAATAGTGTATTTCAGTGAAAAATGGCAAGAAAAAGTGACGAAATTATAATATGTGACATAACCCGAAAAGTTTTAAGATACAGTATGTTATGGCCAATAGAAAAAGAGGAATTGAATCCAGGCATTAGATATAAACTTACAATTCTAGCCTTTTTTTTAATCACCGGTTTACATGTTTTTTCAATAACACTTTACTCAATTTTAGAAATAAGAAGTAAGGGAATAGTTTTTTAACAAATTTAACAAACTAATTGCAGGTGGTTATGACGTAAATGCCGAGGATCTGGCAATATTAATTGCCATTTACGGCACTTATTTTATGGTATCTGCTTATTTAAATAACCAACACCAAATTGCACTTTTATTGCGTGATTTATCAAGATTTAACAAATTTGGAAAACCTCCAGGCTTTGAAAAACTCAATCACCAATTAAATTTTATGGGTAAAATTTTAATAGTTTATTCATTCCTTGCGACGATTTTCTACAATGGTGTAAAGTTTCTGCAAAAAGATGAATGTAAAAAAGTCAACAGGGAAAGGGGTTTGAGTGATAATCATTGTGGATTACTTGCTACATTTATGTTTCCATTTCGAGTTGATTATTTTCCTGTATTTTATTTAGTTCTTCTTATAACATTCTTGGTGGCTAATCTATTGATCAAACTCTGCATGCACATTTCTTTCAATGCATATGAAATTATGAGTCATATTGTTTTGAGGATTGAACATTTAAAAGGCATGATTTGGGATTGCTTAAACAACAATAGCCATACAGACGTGCAAGAAAAATTCAGAGTTTGTATTTTATACCATATTGAAATTTTAAAGTAAGTTACAAATAAATATTTTACTGAAATAAGTAGAACGTAATATTTTTAGTTTCGCGGCAAGATTAGAAAAGAGTTTTTTTGATACAATGTTTGGTCATTTTGCCCTAACTGGTGCAATTTGTGCTTGTCTGGAAAAACAAATTGTTTCAGTGATAAATGAATTATTTTGATTTATTTTAATGAGTGATTTAAATTTTTAGGGTGTTAATATTTTTGCAGGAACTTTACATTTTATTGGATGGATTATAGCATTGTTTGTTGGTTGCGTAGCAGGGCAATGTCTTCTTGATGCAGTGAGTGTTTCATTTTCTACACCTCATTAATTATTTTTTTAATTGTGTAGAGTGAAATCATACCTAATGCAATCTGGTCCAGTAAATGGTATGACGCAGATTTAATAACTAAGAAAAACTTACTCTTTATGCTAGCAAGATCACAAAAAAATCTCACAATTAAAGCTGGCGCTTTTGGAATTTTGTGCTTTCCTCTTTTCGTAACGGTAACTGGAAAATAACATGTGAAATAAATTAAGAAGTGTGATTTATTTCAGGTTTTAAAAACCTCGTATTCTATACTGTGNTGAATATATTTATTTATGAAGAAAATAACTTTGAAGCTTGTTTGTGCACTAGTGTGTTTCATTCACAAATTAAATGAATAAATTTCTTCGCAGTAACTTTTATTTATGCATAATAAACATCACATACAAGGAGTGTATGGAACCAAGCGGTTTTTTAATCATTTGCCTTTACAAAATAATAATGAATAAAAATGAGATTGCTATAAAAAACATGATCGTGTTTTAAGATTGGATTTTTTTTGAGTTATGCGATTTGTAAACTGAAAAAAATGTAGAT